TGTGGAGAAGATAAAAATGTGAGCGAAGGAGCCCAGTGCTAGCGCACCCATTGGATGATTTCCAGAGTCACTGGGGCCCCGGGGGTTTTACTCACTCCTTCCAGCACCCACAGGAAGACACAGCGATAGCTCAGCTCCCCTCGCTAAGTGTGGACTCGTTTCTCTTCCTTGAGAGGGAGAAGAGTTTAACAGAGTGTCGGCTGGACCCTGGATTGGCAGAGCTGTCTGATTTCCCACGATCTTTCTCATCCTTGTCATTCTCCTACTCATCGTGTGCTGTCGGCACACTGGGTGCAGAACAGTGTTGTGGGCGTGAAGGTTAAAGAGGAGACCCTGTAAGGGCTGTTGTGGTGACTCGGGTAAACCTTGTGATGCCACAGAAGAGCTCTCCTCCGCCACTTGGGGCATCTACTGTACTAAAGACTCTCACTGTTGGGTACAAGTGGACTCACGGTGTACAGTGAGAATGAATGGTGGAGCCACAGTGACTCTGAGGACCCCACTTCTCAGCAGTGACAATCAACCTGAAGCACTGAGCATGAAAGCCACTCCCCCATCCCGAGTCCCAGCTCCTTTTACTCCCCCCTCCCATTCCCTGCTCTCCACCATCCACAGATATCAAGTCCTAAGGCTGACTCCCAACACAATTTCACATTCCCTCCCCAGTACATCCAATACATCACTGCAATTACAGAAAGCAGACAGAAAGGTGATGAATGAAGAATCAAATACGCTATGTCTTCTGTGTATTATCCCACCAGATGGGGAGGAGTGGGCAGCTGGAAAGAATGCGGAGCAGGTCTGCTATTGGAGAAGCCAGTGTGACAATCAGGCTCTGGACCAAATGTGGGGATGGGTGTCCCACACACTTTAATGTTAGGGTGGCTTACAGTGTCTTGGACATTGCACACAGCTGCGGGGTAAACCAGCTATGATGCTAACCACCAGCTTGCAGGTGGCCAGTGGGGGCTCAGGACATTTAGATTCCAAACTGGTTGCCCAGAGATCTGTGAGACCCACACGCCAAGGGTGGCACACCCTGGGAGGATGGGGAGAACCTCTGAGGCGTGGCCCTCAGACTATCTTCCTTAGGGACGAGGCTGCTTTAGTAGCCAATTACATTTAATTTCCTGCAAAGAGCCAGGGGCTCACGCTTTTGGGACTAGCACCAACTGACAAATAGCTGCTTTTGCAGAATCCTATTTCATTTTTCCCTTGGCACTGTAGGCTAGAAATCCAACAAGGAGGGAGCACTGGAAACAGACTGGATTAGCAAAATGAGCCCAGTGCCTGGTAGGATCACTTCTCAGAATACAGGAAACAGCCCTGGTCACAGGTCTCTTCTAAAGCAGGAAGAAACCAAAGTCTGGGGGAAACGGGAGTCTATGGCAGCAATGTTGGATCAGAAGCTAAAGCCCAGTGACAGAGTCTTTACCCGGTGGCAGCCAGCCTCCAGCAGGGCCCCAATGATCCTTGCCTCAGAGTTTGTCCTCTCCCACCCTGACTGGGGATGACCTGTGCAACCAAAAGAATTTTGCAGAAATCATGGAGTTTGACTTTTAAGGCTAGGTCATACAAAGACATCATAGCTTCTGCTTTATCCTCTCTCGGATCACTTGTCTTGCGGGAAGCCAGCTGCCATGTCACAAGGACACTCAAGCAGCACTGAGGAGGCATCCTTGTGGCAAGGATTTGAATTCTCCTGCCAATAGCCTGCATCACCATGCCATTAGCATGAAGGAGCCTAAAGCACATCCTCCAGCCCAGTCAAACCCTCAGATGATCACAGCCCCGGCCAGCATCTTGATTGCAACCTCATGAGAGACCCTGAGCCAGAACCACCCAAATGAGCTGCTTTCAAATTCCTGACCCACACAAACCGTGTGAGATAGTATTTAGTGTCGTTTTATGTCACTAGCTTTTGGTGTAATGTATTATGCAGCAAATGCATCATTAATGCACCCTGCCAGGTGTCCCATTAAGTCTATTAATGCAGGAAACTGACTTTGTCCCTGGTGGGAAGCCTTGTCAGCGTGTCTCAAATGGATGGTCTTCTTCTTTCAGGATATTGGTATCTCCTGAGATAAACGGGTATCCAGTGCAGTAACCTGCCTTTCTGCTTCTCTTCGTCCATACCTTCCTCAACCACTGTGCCACGCAAACACAGACATGTACATATGCATATACACACATGCACACACACGACTTTCTTTTTAACCTGAAAAATCACCAAATCACTCAAGCGCTGAAAATATGAACTTTTTTTCCAGGAAGAACCAGATGCTTTGGATGTTTTAAGTACTATTTCTCACTCCGTCTCTGAATGGACAGATGGCGGGGGCGGGGAGAACACAGCTGACTACTGAGAATTGATTGATGGGTCTGTTCTACTTTGCTGGTCATATAATTCTGAGCTGAGTGAGCAAGAGCAGGGGAGGAAAGCCACAGCCACAAATGCGTGCATTCCCAAATTTGTTTAAACATTTCAGAATGGGATTTCTCCTTTTCTCTCATTTCCCCATCCCATTTACCACCACAGGTGAGGCGAGTCTTTGATGAGATAAAAGCACAGAGGTTTTGTGAACATAATAAATAGCCCATCCAAGTTATGGTAGAGGCCATCAAGCTACTGTAAGAGAAACATTTCCTCACTGTACAGAAGTTCTGCTATGAAATACCCGAAAGATGTGAGGCACTAAACACCTGCAGGTCCTTCCCCTCCAGGCTGGGGGCCAAGAAGAAGGCTTAGAGCTGGGAAAGCCTTGCAGCATTCTCCTTGGCTAGAGTGGGCCCTGAAGGCAGAGGCTAAAGGTAGAAAACAGGGGAATAGCGGAGAGCGGAGAAGCAGGGGCACCAGGGAGAGAACTCCCGATAGTCACTCAGAGTGGACCCGCATGGGTTGAAAGATAGCCAGGTGGGAAACTATTGCTCAGCCTCCTGTGTGCTTCTTTTTATTTCTGTCAGAGAACTCTACCTGTCTGTCCTCCCAAGTATGGAGTCATATCTGAAGGGTTACGTGGGAAATATTCTCATCATGAGGTGAGTAGGGTCATGGAGGTCCTTCTCTAAAAAGAGTCATGGCTGATCGTGACCACAGTTTGGGGAGACAGTGTTCTCCCGGCGTGTCTGAGCCGAGTGGATATCAGAGGCCCCATGTCACTGTCCCTGGCCCTGGATTCTCCAAGAACTGGCCCTGTGTGTCTGCTCATCTTCATCCGTGCATCTTCCCCTGCTGAGCTCTGCCACCAGCTCTGGTGAATCCCAGGTTTCCAGCCCTGGTCTCCTGCCTGTGATCCATCCCTGATTTTAGCTGTGCGTAAACTTTCCTCCTCTTGGTTATCTGAGCCTCACCTTACACTCAACATGTCCAATTTCGAATTCCGCAAAGACTCCTTTTCTCCATGATCTTATTTCTGGCAATAAAAGCCAGCTGGGAACTTGGAGTCGTCTCAGATCTTCTTTCCTCAGGACCCAAATCCATCCTGCCAGTGGTCCTGAGGTCTTTCCCTGTAAACTGTACCTTTGTTATGCTCAATGATGGACTATGCTCAGAGCCTCCACCCTTTGCAAACTCTCATCCTGACAGGCCTGAAATGTTCTCTTTTCTTTCTTTGCTCCCTTCATCCCCTTCATATTTCAAAGTTTGAAACAATCAGCCCCATTTCCTTAAGCCTCATCTGACCCCTCAACACCACATTTGCCTCCTTTCTTGAACTTCTATTCCTCCAATTCAAAGGCAATTCTTAATGAGGGCCTGCTGTGTGCCAAGTGCCAGTCGGGCAACAACAGTGAAGTTCCGGGCTTCTGGGAGATTACAGTCTAGTAATCATAACACCAATTAATAACTTTTTTTCTCTTTCTTTTAAAAAAATATGTTTTCATTGATTTTTAGAGAGATATGAAGAGAGAGAGAAACATCGATGAGAAAGGAACATCGACTCACTGGCCTCCTGCATGGCCCCCACTGAGGATGGTGCCCACAACCCAGGCAAGTGCCCAGACTGGGAATCAAACCAACGACCTCTCGGGCATTGGGTCAACACTTAACTACTGAGCCACACCAGCTGGGCTACTTCCTCTTTCTTAACTGTGCTTCCCCAATCAAATTATTCAATAGCCAAGACTGTGTCTTAAACAAGTTTTTGTAAAATCCACAGTGACTGTTAGATTACAGGGGACACCACATGTTCTTACTACTTGTTATATGCAAGACAGGTAATAGAATCAGATAAAAAAAAAAATACATGTCAACTACAATCCTTATCTAGGTTACAGAAATATCTTTGGTATGAAGGAAAAAAACCGGTCAAAAAATTAAAGAAACCAGGCTGTGTTTGAATGGTGTTTTACATGTCTAATCAATAAATCGATTTAACTTGTCAAAATATTTTTAATATAATCATTGATAGTCCATTCCCCAAATAAAATAATCTTGAAATAATAATCACATTATAAGATTAATGATTCAAAGCTCATTAGTAATTCAAAGGTAGATATCTGGAATTTCCTAAGAGATTTTACAAGACAGAAATAGGAGCAAATTGAGAAGCACTGAACACAACTCTTAGGTAAAATCATTCTATTCTATTAAGGACAAGAGTGTTGATAGGATCCCAACACACAAGAGAACCATGACATCCTCTCAGCAAGGGTCTCCTGGACCAGGGACAGAACTGGGCTCAGATAATACTGATATGTCCTTTTTAAATGCCCCAGTAAAGACTTTTGTGAATCAGAAGTAGAGAAATCTCATTTCTCCAAAATGTACAACTCTTTTTGATATAAGAAAAAAATAGGGAGATATTTCACTCCTCCCAGCCTTAAATGAGCCTTTGTTCAGAGGACCTAGTATGTACCTCAGTTTAGACTATAAGGAATGCATGTCAGTCCAGCCTGGTAGAGATCTTCATGTGCTAAACAGCTCAAGAACACAGAGTCATAAATTTGTCTCAGATACATGTTTACTGTGAAAGTAAATCTTTAAGAAAATTCTTACTCACCTGCCAGAATATGCTATCTATTGTGTTTCCAAGAAAACCATCACGGCCTTCTGAAGACACCAGTTTCGGGCCAAGAATTGTCATGAATTCATCAAAATCCACCTGGCCATCCCCTGGAAGAAGAAGATATAAATATAAATGGAAAAGTAGTTGAAATTGACTTACTATGCCCCATGAAATAAACATCTTCATATTTTCCTCCTTAGCATGACCTCAATAAATAACTAGTGGCATTACTGAAAGTTGTGCAACATTCTTCAAATACCAAAAGAAACACAAGAAATTATTGGTTATTATTAGGACATCCAATACCACATATCCCTAATTACTTGTCAGTATTTCTATCTAAATGTTCAACCAGCACCTCAAATTGCCCAACTATACATGATAAATATTTCAGCTTCATTCATATCTCTTCCTTCATCTTTGTCACTCACAAATACATTTAGTCATCACGTTTTATTGAATTCACCTCTTAGATACCTGCGGCTGTTTTATTTTTCTTGTTAATCCAATTGCATATCCCTTTCCAAAGACTATGGTGGGAAAGTGATTCCAAGGATTAAAATTCCTAGTTATAATTATAATGTTATTAGAATTGCTTTCTGACCTCACACTCTCAACTCCTCACTTTCCTCCAAACAATTCCAAGTTTACTTCCCTTAAACGCGTCTGATCATGCTTTATAAATCAATTCATCTCTGAAAATAAGGAAACCAACTCAGGGTAGCATTCAAGTCCCATTACCCCTTCTGTCACCTTTTTCTCCCCACCTCTGCACAAAATGCCCTGCTCTTTCAGAGCTTCAGGCCTCTGTACATCTGGGATGCTTTCCCCCACTGGTTTACCCGATGAACACCATAAGTCAGTGGTTCTCAACCTTCCTAATGCCGCAACCCTTTAATACAGTTCCTCATGTTGTGGTGACCTCCAACCATAAAATTATTTTTGTTGCTACTTCATAACTGTAATTTTGCTACTGTTATGAATCATAATGTAAACATCTGATATGCAGGATGTATTTTCATTGTTACAAATTGAACATAATTAAAGCATAGTGATTAATCACAAAAACAATATGTAATTATATATGTGTTTTCTGATGGTCTTAGGCGACCCCTGTGAAAGGGTCATTTGACCCCCAAAGGGGTCTCGACCCACAGGTTGGCGACCCACAGGTTGAGAACCGCTGCCATAAGTGCTCTAAGATGGAGCTTAAATATCATAATTTCTTTTCATTTTCTTCCTGACCCTTCCTCAACTCACTTGACGGAGTTAGACCAACTCTTTTCCGTCTCTCCTACTAACTTAATGTGCATCCTTTACAGAACTTATCACCTGTATCTCAGTCACTGATTTGCATGCCTATCTCCTACCTGGACTGTGAGCCCTGCAAAGTCAGGGACCTATGCTGGAACTTTTTTGTACATTCAACACCGTGGTGGGCCCTCAGTATGTGCTTGTGGAATGAACAGATGCTGTCTCTTGCTTGATTTTCTGTTGCTCAGTTCAGCATCCATTGGATCTTTCAAGCCTGAGCTGCTATTGACAAAAAGGTAAACCTGAGCCAAGGCAGACAAAAGCTGACCTTCAAGGTCTTGCCCAAGCCTCAATGACCCATCAATGTGGCTTTCCTAATGAGTCACTGAGGCTTGGATGATACCTTGAAAGTATTGTCCAAGAGAGAGTCTCCACCAAGAGCTCACCACATCTTGGCTACCAACTATGAAGATGGTGTCTGCACACAAATTTGCCAAAGCGCAGACATTGATCCACCCCCAGAATGCAATTGCCTTTAAAAATATATTTTATTGATTTTTTTACAGAGAGGAAGGGAGCGGGATAGAGAGTTAGAAACATTGATGAGAGAGAAACATCGATCAGCTGCCTCCTGCACACCTCCCACTGAGGATGTGTCCGCAACCAAGGTACATGTCCTTGACCGGAATCGAACCTGGGACCCTTCAGTCCGCAGGCCGGCGCTCTATCCACTGAGCCAAACCAGTTAGGGCATGCAATTGCCTTTAAAGAACCTTCATTCAAAACCTATTTCAAAAATCCAAGCAGATGTCATCATCAAGATGTCAATCATTCAGATAAAACTTTCTAGAAGATAAAGGAGGCATGAGAAGTCAATGGGAAAGAAGAGACTTAGCCACCAAATGAGGTGGGGCAGTCAGTGGGCTATTGAGAGGAAACTGATTTATCTCTCAACCTTCACTAAGATAAAGGGATCTAAAATTTCACCCTCATTGATCACCATAAGAAAGCTAATGCAAGCAACAATGTGTTAACATCTTGCCTTTCAAAGTAGAGAATACTTGTAAAAAGGATACTGCTCAAGCCTGGCAGAGGTCCAGAGAAGAGCCAGGCTCTCTTCTGCATTCCCAGTACACTTATCTGAATATTGGATATTGACTGGCAGTATTTAAGGTGCTGTACATGTCGGTTCTTTTTAACATAATAACTTTACTTTTTAATAATAATAATAATAATAAAGAAAACAAGGGAAGTATCTTACATACTGACCAAGACACTATCTCCTTCAATAAAGTGAAGAGTGATTCTTAGAGGACAAAAAAAGATCTTAGATATTATAATGGTTTATAGCCCTTCTGGGACCACAGTGCATAAACAGATAGACAGTATATCTTTCTATTACAATTTCATGGGGGTAGGGCAACTATGGAAATAAATGTCCTAAGGCTCCTGGGGGTGGGGTGGCTATTTAAAAAAGAAGGTTGAGAAACACTGCACTAGAAGATGTCTCGAGTATTATGGTTGTCCTTCCCCGGGCCCTCCCTCCCATTAGCAGTGGGCCAACATGATCCCAACTCTCTATCACCCATGACGAGGTCCGACGGTTCATAAAGGCTTAGCATTTCAAGAGCACGAATCATGGCACCTGAACTACCAGGCTTGGTCACTCAAGCTCCTGCCCACGGTGTAATGGGCACTGCTGTCTCTCAATTGGGAGCCTTGTAGGGGAGTGGTCCATAGGACGTGGCAAAACACCGGTTTCTCATTGCCAGGAAAATGGGATTGTCTTTGAACAGTCCACCTTCCAGGTAGGAGGCCACCCACCTCTCCAAAACCTCCCCCCAGGCGATGGGAGTAAAGCAGCATGCAATTGGTGCATTTCAAGGGCCCACATGGAACTCTGGTCAAATCACCAAGGAATGCTCACAGAGGGCGCCCTTGGCTGAGAACACCAAACCCAAAGCTGACAAGCAGACACAATGCTTCAAAACTTTCCTGGCGCTGGCTAACTGCTCTTTTATGACTCAATCCTTGGCCAGAGGGGAAGCGCTGGGGGTGAGGCGCTCAGGATCCTGTGGGCAGTGCCAACTGCAGTGCAGAACAGGTGGCTTGGTGCAGACTTTCTGCTACTGGGAGAAGAGGTCTAGTTCACGGAGGATTTGCTTCCAGCTACTTAGCAGAGGACATCTGGAACATCAGATTATTTTGTTGGTGGAAATATGATTCTACCGCTCCTTGTTAACTATCATGGAGCAAAGGGAGATTCCTGCAGGAGAAATAATCAGGGTGGGTCCCTATCTCTCTGCATCTCTCTCAGGACTTCCTCAGCCTGACTCCTGAGGATGCGTGTACACAGCACATTTTCTGCAGACCTTCCATAAGTGAGGGCTCCTCTTGCTACGGCACAATTTGACAGCACAAGGTTCTATTCAGATTTCCTGTGAGGAAAAGCTCTCTTCAGCAGTTTGCAGTTTTAACAAACAGAACTGGAAACGCCCTATAAGCTATCAATCCTGGTCCCAGAATACCAGCCCCACAGCCCCATTCCCTCACTCCATCATCTCAGGAGAACTGAGACAAATGGAATCTCAGAGAGAGGTTTTTCACTAAGTCCCTTGTAGGAAAACCATTCCCAGGCCGAGGTAAGGTCTGGGAAGCCGGATAATGATCAAAATATCTATTTACTGAGCCCTCATTCACAATGTGCTGGGCACTGTGTAAAGAAATTTCTTTACACTAGTTCATTTAAGTCCTTCAACAGCCCATTTTACAGATGAGAAAACTGAGGCACCGAGAGGTTCAGTAGCCTGCTGAAGCTCATGCAGCAAGCAGAGCTGGGATTCCAAACCCAGCAGTCTGTTTGTGCTTTTGCTGCATCTCAGGAGGCTGGGTCATGCATGGGACTGTCTGGAGCCCTCTTTCCCCCTTCCCCAGCATTTCCTGGCAGGTAACTATAGGCAAAGTGAAATCTACATTGCTCTCTCTGATCTAGTTGGTGTGTCTCAGGTCAACCTCTAGAGGTCTTTCTTAATCATTTAAAAGACTAATAATAAAAGAAAGAGGAGATACGTATTTTACAGGCACTGAGTTCAGGGCTTTACATTTCATTATCTTGCTTGGTTTTATCCCAACACTTGGAACAGGTTCTGCCCTTCCACATTTACCCATGAGACAACTTAGGCAAAAGAGGTTAAAAGCAACAAGATCAAGGCCATGTAGCACTTATCAGCTTGGAACCCTGATATTAACCTCCACGTTGTACTGTCCCGGCTTCTGCACCAAGGATCCCAGCATAAGTCCTGGCATAGGTTCATATCTCTTTTCAAAGTGTGAGAGTCTAACATGGTTTCCTATCTGGGCATTTAGGAAGGAATTTAGTGGGAGATTGGGAGAGATGGCCATTAAGGGTTCTAATGCAAAAGATCATTGCCTGAAAGCCATTTATTAGTTCCCCAAATTTCTATTTTGCCTGCTGTCGCCGTCTCAGTAATTCTCCTTCAATGGTCGATTCTTAGCGGACACTGGTCTCTCTCATACAACCTTCCAGGCGTCTGAAACCTCTTCCGCCTGAAAGCATTGGTCTAATGAGGGAGGCCTGGCAGGGAATCTGGATTGGCATGCTCCCAAGGAAAGGATGGGCATCTTCTCAGACCCACCACCTTTCACAGAACGTGGCTGCAAAATTTCATTGGGTTAAATTTTTGACCAATTTTGAACATGCAAGTAACTGCAGAATTAGAGAATGGAATCCACCCCTCCCGCTTCCTTCTCCCTCCTCAAGCCTTCTAATATCATGAGCCACTTAGCAGGGAGTGAAGGAAGCTAACCTGCTAAGGTCTAGCTGCTATGTAAG